CCAGGGTTGCATGGTGCCCAGTGTGATGTGGCTCCAAGTCAAGTCTGAGGTCTCCACGATGGGAAGACAGCAAAGGTTGGGATGAAGAGAGGGAAATGAATTGATTTACTGGACTTGTGTGTGTGAGTGGTGTTTGTCACTGCCGAGGACAGCTCGGGCATTGCACCAGAGGGCACAGACTTCAGGAGGGGTCTTGTCTCTCAGGAGAACTTACACCCTCGAGTTGCATGGTCCCGACCAGGCCGGGGTGGTTTTGTCTGGATGGATGGATGGATGGACACAGGGATGCAGTGCTCAGCCATCGCTGTGTTTACACAGATCTTTAACCCCTGGGAACTGAGGTGCAAACTCAGGGTGGGAAATTATCTTCTATTTGCCCAAACCCCTTCAGGCAGACTCAGACCTGGAGGAATTATCTACATTTTCATGTGAACCCCAGCTGGGAAGTTGTTTGTGTTGGGGTAAGTTGGGTACGTGGGAAGGGTGTTCGTGACGAACCCCAAACTAGTGACCCTCAAAGCTGATAAATCCTGGGGAGAGGGAATAGGTTTGGGACTTGGAGAAGGGCTGCCCCAGGTGACCCCAGGGAGATGGGGTGTGGTGTGAACCCCAGATCCTCTGGTCTCCCGGCTGGATGGAGAGCAGGGAAGACAGACTAAACAGCCATCGTAACTTAGAGATAAAATACATACATTATAACCTTTTCTTTCCATCTTATATCTGAAAATTTGATCTTAACTTTATTTTGGAAAAGGCTTTGGAGCTTTGAACCCTGTTGCTGGATGAACACCTTGGGCTGGAGGTGAGGAGCAGAGGTGCAGCTGATCCCAGCAGGCAGATTAAATTCCAGCAGAGCCCCGTGGGAGCCCCAGTGCTCCTGGATCAGTGGGGACACCCTGTGTCCTGCTGATGCCCCGTGTCCGGGGACACAGCCCGTGCTGGGAATGGGTCCTGCTCCGCTCCTCCAGGAGCAGCCACACCATCTCAGGCTCTTTAGCAGATGGACCTTCAAGAGCATTGCACTTTCTACCAACCTGCCTTAATTAATCGCTCTGTAATTGCACATCGGCTTCTCCTTGCACTTCTCACCTTTCCCTGAGAAATGTGTTTCAATTTGTATTCCCGTTGCTGTTTTCTTTTGTGCAGGAATCTTTTCTTTTTCCTTCTCTGGCTCCTGTTTACTTTGTTAGTGGCTTTTATTCCCGAACATCTCTTGGAGGAGTTCTGGTCAAGGGGAATATTTATATTTCATAGGATTTGAGCAAAAAAAAAAAAAAAGGCAAAGCAGGCAGGGAATCCAGGATGCGTAATTACTCTCAGATCCTGTCCACGGGTTTTGTTGGGAAAGCGTGTTGTACTCTGTGAAACACCCAGGTTTCAAAGCTCCAGATCCCTCTAATCTCCTGCTCTGGAGGATGGGGTGGGGAGGGGAAATGTGCCCGACATCTGGTCTCTATCATCCAAGCGGCACTTTGAAATTTGTCTGCTATTGCCAATTTATGGCAGCCTCTTCTTTTTGTGCTCATTGCACGCATCAGATAAGCCTTTAATACTGGGGGGTCCCTGGTTCCTCTTGCCCCCACACGTGCCATCTCTGCTCCGCTGCCTCTCACGTGGGGAGCCAGCACTTGACCGCTGCTTTTGGAAACAGCAAAGTGGCTCCAGGTTTTTTAATATCACTCTCTTTCCAGGAATAAAATGAAGTTTATTTGGGTTTGTTGTCCCCTCTCTGGTTGCCCTGAACGTCCTCTGAAGTTTTCCTGTTCGTTCTGCTGTTGCCCATTAGCAATTCTTTATTAGTCCCCCACCTTCCCCTCTTCCTGCTGTGCAATAATTCTGGGTTTATGTGCAGTTTTTCTTGGGAGTTGTCAAAGAATAATTACGCCCCATTAACTCCACTTTGTATCTTTACTAACTCACACCTATAGAGTATTTTCCAAGCAACTGATATTGGTTGTCTCTTAATTGCTGAAGTCCATAAACTCTGTTACACTGAAACTGTGCTAAGGATTTGCACCCTCTAAAACTTTTCCCTCCAGTGTGAGGCGTAACAGAGAATCTGCTAGTGGGGGCTTTATCAGATCTTATTTCCTCCCAATTTAAGCAAATTATTTGCTTCTGGCTCTGTTGAAGGCTACGAAATGTATATTAAGATGCAAAAAGCACGAGACTAGAAAGACAGTGAAAGGATAGATCGTGTTCCCAATGGATGAATCCTATAGTTTGTGTTGCTGGATGGTGCTGAGTGGTTGAATGAGGCTGAAAACCGAATGATAGCCCTCTCTCACCCGTTCCAGTGAATTCCAATTCAAGGAATTGGGGACCAGCATGGATCTGGGACCAGCATGGTCCCAGATCCACCTGGGTCAGGAGCAAGCTGACCAGCATGGTCCCAGATCCACCTGGGTCAAATACGCTGGACAGACACTCTCCTGAGCTGAGGGTCCAGAGCCAGGCTCGGCTCTGCAGGAGCCCAGCACTGGGAGCATCCCCTGGGATGCTGCCCGAAGGACCTCACCTGGATGGAGGTGGCACTGGTGAGCACTGGGAGACCTGGCACGGACCCAGGGTATGGACACAGCGGTCCTCAGCTGTAGCAGCGTTTGCTGGGGGTGCAAAGAGAGCAGCAGGTCCAGCCAGATGCATTTTTACCACGTTATTCTATGTTTAATGTGATTAATAACCGGTTTCATCCAGGTGTAGCCTGAAGTTGAGCATCCTCTAAATAAAACCACCCCAAAAGCATCCTACCCCAAAGGATGCAGTAAATATGAACCATTCAGCTAAAGCACTGGCCAAAGAGCGTGGCCCCACAGCCTGCAGTGGTGCCAAGTCCTGCCCAGACCCTGGGCATCCCAGCTGGAACGGATGGAGCTGCCACCTTCTCCCCTGAGAGTTGTTTCTGCAAGGAAAAGGCTCAGTATCCAAGAGCTGCTCGACCCAGTGCCGTGAGGCACCGCTCAGCCTCCCTTCAGATAACAAATGGTTTCAACTCAGCATTAAAAAAACCAAAATACTGTTGGTGGCAACTCCTATTTCCTCGGAAAAAAATCCTGGAACCCTGGCAGGGAAACAGTTTCTGCACAGAAAACATGACACTATTTACAAAAAGCGATGGCTAATATCCTTTTCCAGCTTGGAAAGAGGAGTTTATTCTAATACATCCTTTTTTAATTGCCATGAGCTGGACTTGTAAATATTGTAAGTGGTTGAGTAATAGTCATCTGTGCACGGACCAAATGAAGGGACGTTTTTTCCGCTCTCGGAGCCTTAACGTATTCCCACAGCTTGGACAGGGGGATAGCACAGGCAGATACTGAACTGAAACAAAAGCCTGTTAATTACAATTACACAGCACACACAGGGGCTGGCTGTGTGTGCAGTGTCAGTGCCCGCAGTGCCTGCATGAGGGGTTCTCGTGTTGGGGCTGCTTTGGGAGGTGATGGGCTGGATCACAGCAATCCAGCCCGTTATCAGTAAAATATTTCTTCCTCTCCTCTAAAGAATCATAAAACGGTAAGAGTTAGAAGGGACCTTTGAGACCACCCAGTGCCACCCCCTGCCCTGGGCAGGGACACCTCCCACCACACCAGGTTGCTCCAAGCCCCCTCCAACCTGGCCTTGAACCCCTCCAGGGATGGGGCAGCCACAGCTTCTCTGGGCAACCTGGGCCAGGCTCTCACCACCCTCACACCAAAGAAGTTCTTCCCCACATCTCATCTCAATCTCCCCTCTTTTCCATGTCAAACCCTTCCCCTTATCCTGTGGCTCCCCTCCCCGATCAAGAATCCCTCCCCTGCTTTCCAGGGCAGAGTTCTCCCTAAGAAAGGGGAAATGAAGGAGAATTAGATTCCTCTAGGAGGTGTCTGACAGCCTTATTGCTATCGTTCAGCTGAGAGAGAGAAAATCTGCTTTGATGCTTTTCTGGAGCAGTCTTCGAAATGATCCATAACTTATTTTTTTTTAACACCATCCTTCTGCAGAGCAGTGTGGTGTGCCCGAGCTAAAAAGTAGTCGTGAAGTTTTGTAAGATCGTGTTAGTCATTTACTTCTGCACAGCAATGGGTAGGGATTTGGGGCAGGATGGAGTCCATGGAGCCGGTGCAGAGCACTGTTAGACTCTCCTTAATGCTGCTTGATTTTCATTTTCCCGAGTCAGGTACATTCCCCAAAGCCCTGCCTTTGTTCTGCAAATTGTTTTGTCTGAAAGCAGGAGTAGTTTGCATTGGAAACAATTTCCTGATGCAATTTGGATTTCCTTCTGAATAATCCTTTTCCCCAGTGGGATGGTAGAGAGGGATTCTAGAAAAGCTTAAACAGCCTTGCCATGAGTTAAACATATCCCCTAATCTTGGTGAGGCAGATGTTTAAGGAGGAAGATACCCTGCAGGCGCTGTTAAAGAAAAATTAATTTGCAGGCTCAGGAAGAGAAAGAACTGCTCCACCAACGTGGGTTTGCCTTCACGTCACTCTTGGGGTCGTTGACATGCAGGGGACTGGTGAGGGGCTTGTGTGGGACGAGCACGGGGGAGAAACCATAGAGTGGTTCAGGTTGGAAGGGACTTTAAAGGTCACTAAGTTTCAACCCCCCTGCCCTGGGCAGGGACACCTCCCACCACACCAGGTTGCTCCAAGCCCCCTCCAACCTGGCCTTGAACCCCTCCAGGGATGGGGCAGCCACAGCTTCTCTGGCCAACCTGGGCCAGGCTCTCACCACCCTCACAGCAAAGAAGTTCTTCCCCACATCTCATCTCAATCTCCCCTCTTTCAGTGTCAAACCCTTCCCCCTCGTTCCATGGCTCCCCTCCCTGATCCAGAGTCCCTCCCCATCTCTCCTGGAACCCCTTGAGGGACTGGAAGGGGCTCTAAGGTCTCTCCAGAGCATCCTGTGCTCAGTCTCAGCTGGGAAGAGGAGCAGGACTTGGAGGAAGGATTCAATTGCAAAAGCCTAATTGTAAAAGATGAAAGCAGCAACTTTAAGGTCGTTTCCTCTTTTGCAGGAATGCTGGTGGTGATCGTGCTGCTGCTGATCGCCATTGCCGTGGTCGCTGTCTGGCCGACCCATTAACGTGGGTATGGAGCCCACCAGAGCTGCTGCTCGGCCCCTGAGCACCGAGACCTCTCCCCAAGAGACCGACTTTGTGCGAAGACCTTCTGTGTTCTGCATCAACTCAACAGTCCCGGAATGAAGCCGTGTCTGACAGCCAGCCCTCCGTCCTTGGCTGCACGGCTGAGGAGCTCTGCCTCATTTGAAGGGTTGGAACTGAAAAAGGACTTTATTCCCCCCTTCACTTGCCGCTCGGGAGGCTGCACTGGCCGTAAAATAGATGTTCTTCGAGGTGCTCCCTGCCTGGCCCAACACCGCTTCTGCCCAGCGGGCAGCCTTCCTGAGGGCTTTAAAATACTAAAATAAAGGTGTGGTTTGGGAGCACAGCGATGGCGCCCGTCTGCCTTCTGATACCTTCCTGCGGAATGAAAGTGCTTATGTTTTTTTCCAAGGAATAGCTTTTTTGGGGATGACTGCGTCTGGATGGGAAATGAGAGGACCCCAGGGAGCCCTGCGAGGCGGCAGGACCCCCGTGGGTGAGTCAGTCAGTCCCGTTTATTGGGGTTGATCTCCAGGGACAGAAACATCAATAGCAGCAGGACTCCATCCAGGTGCTGGGGAAGGGGAAGCCCTGCCCAGCCTGTGCTCCCGAGGAAGGGGTTTTGTCCCCAGGCTCTCCCGGGCCGAGCGCAGGAGATGCCCTGGTGTTACTCATGTACTAATCTCGGCCATCGGGCTCTGCCTCTTTCTTTTATAACTTTTCACACGCTGTTAAAACGGAAAGGAAGGATTACCTATGTGAAAACTAACAAAAAAGAAGTACTGAGTGTTTGCTTCGGGCCAAGAAAATAATTATTTTGTTACATGTGCCGGTTTGATTTCAGAATTGACAGAGCAAGCAATAAATATTGAATAAAAGCTGATCCGTTTCTATACAATTTCTCTGCCTGGGTTTTTGTTGTTTCCGATCATCTCGTGTCGTGTGGGAACGGTTTCTCCAACACTTCCATTTCCTAAGAGCTGATTTGGAGAAGGAAAAGAGCAATTCCTGCCAGACTCTGTCTGTATCATGACATACATTTCCTGAGGGATCCGTAAGACTTGGCCAGCCCTGTGCTGGTCCTCACCTGCGGCGGTGGAGTGTCTCCTTTCACAGCTCTCAGCTGGCTCTTGGCACTCCTCTCCTGCTCCCTGCCCTGCAGCTGGGGCGGTGGCCTGGGAGGTGGGAAACCAGGGTGTCCTGGTGCTGTGTCCCCTCTTGAGTGACACGAAGCCGTTTGGTTCTCCTGGGTTTAGTTCCCCCATCTCTCGGTTGGGACTCGCGCACTGGCCCCTTCGTTAAGGGTTTGGTGTAGATCCGAGGGCTCAAGTGAGAGAACCACAGAGTCACACAACAGGTGGGATGTGGGGAAGAACTTCTTTGGTGTGAGGGTGGTGAGAGCCTGGCCCAGGTTGCCCAGAGAAGCTGTGGCTGCCCCATCCCTGGAGGGGTTCAAGGGCAGGTTGGAGGGGGCTTGGAGCAACCTGGTGTGGTGGGAGGTGGGCTTTAAGATCCCTTCCAACCTGAACCGTTCTGTGATTCAGTGGAACATACACAGGTGACTACAGACGTGTTCAAAACCCACGTGTTCCTGCAGCTCCTGGGCAGAGGGACCAGCGCTGGGAATTCCCCTGGAGCTGTTTCCCAGCAGCAGCCCCTGCCCCAGCCCTGTGGCCAGATTTCACCCACAGCCCCAGCGCAGCCCCACGGATCTGTGGGGAGGACAGCAGGAAAATAAAACGTGGTGTCTTGAGATGAGACCACGGACTCGGCTTTCTAATTAAAATGGAGGGAATTAAAGTTCTGTTTGAATTCCCAGGACGCGTGGGATGGGTGCGTAATTCATCCCGATCAACGTGACAGAGTGACTTTGTCCTGACAGAGGCTTTAAAAAGATGTTTTCTGACCTGTTGAGTCCTCAAACACATTTTTTCTGTCAGCGCCCAGGAAAGGTGGAAACGCGAGGCTTTTGCTGGGCTGAAGTGTCTGACAAAGGGGTTCTCAGACTTGCCCTTTAGGTAACATTTAATGTGTCACATGGGTGAGGAGTTTTATTAAAAAGAAGTGGTTTTGGCAGTGCTCTGCTGCCTTGTGGACAGCTTTTCTGTCTCCCTGCCCCACCAAAGAAAAAGGAAGGTTGAAATATCAGGTTTTGGCTCTCGGCAGGCAGGGTGGAGTGCCAGGGCCTGGCATGGGGACCGTGCTGCTGGACATTCCTGTGCCAAGTTCCAGGCGTGGGGCAGAGGATGCTCAATCTGTGCTGGAGTCTCCGACCTGTGGTGGCTTCTTCAGGCAAAGGTCTTCCCCAGTGCCCTGGAATGGGCCCAGAGATACATCCCGGGCTTCCCCTTCACAGAATCATAGAATCCCAGACTGATATGGGGTCAGAAGGGACCTCTGGAGACCATCCAGTCCAACCCCCTACCAGAGCAGGTCCACCCAGAGCAGGTCCCACAGGAACGTGTCCAGGTGGGGTTTGAATGTCTCCAGAGAAGGAGACTCCACCGCCTCCCTGGGCAGCCTCTGCCAGGGCTCTGCCACCCGCACAGGAAAGAAGTTCCTCCTCGTGTTTAGATGGAACTTCTTATGTTCAAGTTTGTGCCCGTTCCCTCTTGTCCTGTCCCTGGGCACCACTGAAAGAAGCCTGGCCCCATCCTCCTGACACCCAACCTGTAAGTATTTCTAGGAGTTGCTCAGATCCGCCCTCAGCCTTTTCTTCTCCAGACTAAAAAGCCCCAAGTTCCTCAGCCTTTCCTCAGCAGAGAGCTGCTCCAGGCCCCTAACACCTTCCTATGCACCTCCTTCAGTTCTCTCCTGGAGGACATGCTCAGGAGTTTACCTGGTTCCAGATGTTACTTCCTCAGAACTACAGGTGCTGGGGAAGCTGTGGAGCGCGTTGGAGGTGCTGCCGTGTCCGAGTGCCCTCGATAAGGCCCTACCTCCTGTGAGGATGAAGATGATGGTGAAAGGCTGCTGGGCATTTTCACACACCCTTATTTCTGGAGGTTGGGTGGGAAGTTGGTGCCCGGCTGCTCTCCTGATGGGACCACACGCTCCGGGTCCGGCTCTCAGCAGGAACAGGCTCTTTCCCCTCTTTTTGGAGCCACCCCATCTCCCTTGGACAACCAGCCGCCTGCCAGGAGGCAGCGGACACAGAGGATCTGGGAAACCCATTTGCTCCTCTGCGGAGCCACAGGCGACAGCCCCGGAGCAGAGGTGGTGGCACTTGTGACCCATTTGTCTCCGCAATAAAGATCTGAGATTTCTGACCTCCGAGATGTTTTGGAATTCATAAATTACCCCCGACGCTGAGGGTGTGGGTCAGGCGGGCTGACCCCTTGGCGCTTTGCGGGACCTTTTGCCTGTATTTTTCTCTCTGGAAGTGTTTTTCTCCAGCTTTCCGGCTTGCCTGTGCCCCCAGCCCCTTCCCAGTCTCAAGTGCCAGCTCCTTTGGTGGCATCTGGCACCTCTGGTGTCCCGTGGGAGGTGGGTGATGGAGCCCGGACCCTCGCAGCAGACGGGCAGAGGGGGATGGGCTGGCAAGCAGCCTGTGTCTGGGGGCACAAAAGTGGTCCAGCATGGGGTTGGCAGGTCCCCTGACCCCAGGCTCTGGCTGTCCCCACTCCCCACGACTGTCCCCCCCTCTGTGCAGGGTCCCACAGGTTTCAGTGTGCCCAGGCTCTGCCCCACTGCAGGGGATGGTCTTCTCTGGCATCCAAAGAAGGATGGGGGCCCGTTGGGATGTACCCTGGTCCAGAGACCCCAGAGGTGCTGGGGGGACCCCCCATCCCACCCACAGTGACCCTACTGTCCCCAGGGGTTTGTGGCCGCTGGCAGGGAGTGCTGCTGGTGGGACACACGGCTGGGACTGATGGTCCCAAATAGCTGTGGACCACCTCAAACCCCACCAAGGGGACGTTGGCAGAGACCCAGGGAGGCGGAGGGGACACCGTCACCCCCCTGCCCATGTCCCCATCCCTCGGGCTCACCATGAGCTGGGAGGAAGCAGAGATCCTTGGAGATATTTACAGTTTACAAGAGTTTATTCAACTGGTTTCTGACTTTAGTTCTACCGAGTTGGTGCTGAACAGTTACAAGCTCCTTCGGGTTCAATTACAGCCAATCTAACCAACCAACCAAACAAAGAGGAAAAAAACCCAACGACAACAACAACAACAAAAAAAGAAAATAAACAAGAAACAACTTGGAAAAACAATAAGAAAATCCACAACTTTTTCACGTGTCATTAAATATATTCATATATAATAACCATAATATATTAGTATGCATTGTAAAGAAACATTGCCCAAAGCAGTATGCAATGGTCATAACTAAACAACATTTACAGTTCAAGATATTAACAGAAATGATCAAAAAAATTAAAAAAAAATAAAAAAAAAATAAAAAAGAACAAACCAACCCCAAAGGAACACAGGTTTGTGCGGGGCGAGGAGGGGGGTGTGCGGGGAGAGGGCACGGACACGACCAAACGAACAGAAACGAGACGAAACGATTTTTTTTGTTTTTTTAGGGCACTACCATGGAGTGATGATTGTTTTGGCATCTCAGCTGCTCCCCAAGGCCGCACTGAAGGCACCGCAGCCCCTTCCCCGGCCACCCCTGCTGTCCCCCCCCTGCCCCTCCAGGACCTCCCTCCTGCCCCCCGGGGCCGTGGGTGGGTGCTGGGGTTCCTCGCTGGTTGGGATGGGGTCGGGTACCCCCATAGAGCTGCCCCCCAACCCTGGCCGCTGGTGTTGACTAGTGACATCTTGTCCCTCTTTGGGTGATGGGACAGAGGTGTCCCCCCCTGAAGGAGATGTCCTGGAGTGGCTGCAGGGAAGAGTTGCATCCCTCCCGACACCCCAAAACTGGGGCTGTTCTGCCTTCCCCAGGGGAGGAGGGCTGGGTACCAGTAACACCAGCAGCTCCTGCAGGTCAAGGCTACTGGGAGTGCGTGAGGAGCACTGGGGGACCGCAGACGGAATGAAGGGGCTTCTCTCAGTCTGGTTGGAAAAGTGCAAAACCCCAACACGGATCACGGGACAGGGTCTTGGTGGAACGGGGTCCAGGTGGGACAGGGTTTGGGTGGGACGGGGATCTTATCGCTCTGGCAGGCTCCGAGTTGTTTCCCATCTTCTGCAAACTCCCTTTCCTTCTGATTTCCTGGGTTGGATCAGTGCCTGGAGGGGTCCATCTGTGGGATGGGATGGGGTGGGATGGTCTTTCTTCTTCCCAAACCGGTGGGATCAGGGAAGGGGCTGGGGCTTCTCTCTGGGTGGGTTTGGGGGGATGTCAAGGCTGTGCTGTGCTTGCCAAAGCTGGAAAATGGGAGTAGGTGTTGGGTTTCCAGGCTTGCTTGGTGGCCAGTCCCCAAGTCCCCACATCCTCTGGCCTTGCCTTCCTGCTCTCCAAGTGGAGAACTGGGTTTGGGTTGGATCTGGTTGCTTTTAGTCCAGCTGAAGGTATCCCGTGGTTCAAAGGGATCCTGGCTAATGTGGGACAAGCTGTCTCAGGTGGTGTGGGGTGTCCCTGGCATCAGTTGGTGCTACAGAAGAGCATCCCAGCCCCGCTTTGGGGCTTTAAGCCTCCTTTTAGACACTTGAGCTCAGATTTTAGCCTTCAGAACTTGGTGGCTTGAGTTCCCTTGACTGCAGAACGTCGGCTCTCCTTGAGCTCTGAAGTCTGCTCTGGGGAAGGGGAGAAAGCACAGATTTGGGGGAGTGGGGGGGGATTCCTCGGTGTCCAGGGTGGGATTTCTCTCCTCATGCCCCAAATAATTTCGGAGGGGCTTTGTGCTGGCTGGGGGAGGCTCAGCAGAACCCATCCCCCCGGGTGGTGTCTCCCACAGCCTGGCCCTGGCCGCTGCTTCCCTGGGAGCCCTCCCCTTTACACCTATTTACACGGCTGCCTCGCTTTATGGCGGTTTATGTCATTATATAAATATTGTCAATTGCTATAAAACAAGGCAAAAACCACTGGAAAATGTCATAAAAGAGATGTTTCCAAGTTTCCTAAAAGGAAAAATATCAGGGAGGTTTTACTTTTCGTAACGACTAATGTTTGCTTCTCCTCCAGGTACCCGTCCTGCCCTCCCTGCCTGCCCCCCGGCTCCATCGGTCGGGGGAACTCAGACATCCCCCTTCCTGGTGGGACGGTGTGACAGGGGAACAGCCTGGCGTGGGGACAAACAACAGCCAGTCCTGCCCGGAGAGTGCCCCTGGGAAAGATGCTCCAGCCCTGGGGCTGGGCATGGGGTGGGAGAAGGAGGTGAGGCAGCTGCTGCCTCCCTTAGTTCGTTGGCAATTAGAGATCGGGAAATTTAGATTTTCTGGTTTTCACCCCCATTAGAAGGAGCAGAGCAAGTTGGGGAGCTCCAGGTAGGTCACACCTTGCTCATCCAGTCCATGATGAAACCCCTTCCCCTGGGGCAGGCTCTGCCCCATGTTGGCCCTAACTTGGCCAAGCCTTGAGCTCTGCACTTGTCCCTCTGCCCATGGGGACAGTCCCACCCCTCTGTCCCACCTCCTTTGCTTCCCAAAGGAGACGGCCACTTCATGCAGAGGTGTTGGGGAGCTGCTGCTCCAGACAGAGCGAGGACAGAGCCAAGATGGGGTCAGGGGAACTGGATGAGTTTGGGAGTGAAACCAATGGCTAGCCAGGATCTCGCTGTCCTTGGCGTGGATTTTCTGTCACCTGAGGGGTCATCAGCCTTCTGAGAGCAGCAGAGAGGAGCAAGCCCTTGAAAGAGGTCTCAGGGGTGGCTGCGGTGGAGAATCAGGGACTGTGATGGGCAAGATCTTCCAGGGCACCTATGGGAACTGGATGTCAGCTTAGTTTTTTTGCAAAGTCTGGGTGCTTCTCTGGGGATCCTTGATACTAACTCCATGACTGGGAATCGGTGGCTGGGAGGGGGCCAGGGCACCCCCTGGGCTCACACACCTTCAGTGTGAGGGGGGAGGCAGTGCTGCTTGGGGTGTGGGGGCCAGAGCAAGGAGTCGCTCCCCAAGCCATGTCCACATGGAAGCCTCCCACCAACGTGGTCTCCTCTTCGTTGTGCCCAACCTGGGCCGGGAGCGTCGCTGCAGCTGGAGACCTCGGCCGATGGTTATGACTGTCAGATACCAAAGAGTCCTCAAACAACCCATTAGTCAATCCTCGGATCTGTGTCCTCAACAAAAAAATCTCTGTTTAGTTTCCTCTACGATAACTGGCCCGTTCAACCTAAGCTGAGAGTACGTATTTTTGGGGATGGGGAGTTAATTTCCAGCGTTGCCGTTGATTAGTTTTGTACAGGTGCAGCATTCCCGTGCCGTGCTTTGGGAGCAGCAGATGTTGGCAGCTGGAAGGCCGTTTGGTGTCTCTGATTTCTTCAGCCAATGGGGCAGAACGAAGCTGGGGGCGGGGAGGGGAGGGATGAAGCACTGGCTGCCACATCCCCGCACCCACCCTCCTCTTGTTTTGTATCCTCATGTGCCATTTTTGTGAGTGTGTCATGTTGTGTTTTGTGTTGTTGTGTTTGTGGTTTTTTTTTCTTTTTTCCCGGAATACCAGGTCCAAACCCACCAGCCCCACAGCCCTGGCTGCTGTCCCTCCTGTGTCCCCCTCCCACCCCACCCCTCCCCAGCCCGACCTTCCTCCCGCCGTCCCCGTCGCTGGTCCCTGCCCGCCCCAGCTCCACACAAAGCAGCATGCACAGTCAGTCTCTCCCTCGCTCCGTGGCCTTCTCCTCCTTTAGGCTTTCTTACACTTCCCCTTCTTCTCCCGCTGCTGGAACTTCCTGAGCCGCCGAGCCCACGTATCCCGCCACTGAATCACCAGGCTGGTTTTGTCCGCAATGATGCCGCTCTGGTCGGGAGAGTCCTCGTTGTTGCCCAGCAGCAAATACTTCTTCATGGGTTTGATTTTGGGGCACTTGCAGGCGATGTCCTTGGAGTGGATCCACAGGGTCTGGTCTCCGCGCCGTATCCGGTTGCTCCCTTGTTTGTAGACAGAGATGATGTTCACCGTGAACTTCCACCAGTCGGCATTTTTTTCCGCTTTCAGGATGTGGATCTGGACAGCTGGGAAAAAAACCACCAGAAAACAACAAAACAAGCCCACGAGGCAAGAGAGGAAAAGATGTTACAATTTGAGCTGGGGAGAAGAAAATTCATTTCAAGTCTTACCTAATGGGCTGCGTGAGGAAAAGGAATTTTGTCTCTAAGCCCAGGCTGGGGGATGGCAACCATGGGTGGTGGTTGCACAAAAACTACTTCTGACCTTGGGACTTGATGATCCCAAGGATCTCTTCCAACCTAGACGAGTCTATGATTCTATGACCCCAGACAAGAGTGGTCAGTGCTGATGGCAAAGGGTCTCAGCAAAGGTACTGAGACTACCATGGGCTTGGGAGGTGCTCTCCAGCCCTGCTGCCACCAAGATGGCCCTCTGGGTCCCCAATAAGCATGGGCATGGTGACCCATGGACTATGGTGTCCCAAGGGCCCCCAGGAGGGAAGGGGAGGCTGGGAGCAGCTGTACACCATGAACCATGGCACTCCTTGTGCTGGTGGCCCTGAGAATGACACAGGGCCACTCAGAATGGTAGTGGAGAACAGGATGCCTCAGCCTTCCATCTGTGTCCCAGGAGGAGCATCATCTCCCACACCATGGGTGTGAAGCAAGAATAGATAAACAATTCCCCAGGGCTGTTGGTGCAGCAACATCTGACCCAGCACCTGAGAACTCCTAAAGCGATCCAAAAAAATCTTTAAAAATCAGATGGATTCATGTACAGTGGACCCTGCCTTTTCCCTTGAAGCACAGAGAAAATTAACAAACCCAGGGACATCTTTTGCCTCCAACTCCGGGTGGTGGCCCAAGCACTGGGCAGGGGCTCTGTGCACAAGGCAAATGTTGCAGAGGACACAGTAGGGAGGTGTCTGTCCCCATCGGCAGTGCCAGAACCCCAGGCTGCACCACAGGACCAGGGATGAGCTTTCTTCTTGACCCAAGGGTCAAAAGGATGGGTTTCTGCATGGGTCATCCCTCCAGCCCCTCTATTCGATCTCCTTCCTTGCTGGTTGGGCAACTTAGTGCATCTGCACCAGGACCCTAAGGCAGCCCAGATTTTAAGAGAAAATGAGCCAAAATCTGGAGCAGAACACTGGGACTGGCCCAAATTTCCAAGCATTTGGCATCTGGATGTAGGAAAGACCTGGTAGGAGCCTCCAGCACATCTACTCAGGGCCAGCGCAAGGAGGCAGCTCTCCATGAGAACTTGGTCTTGGAGAAGGACACTGAATGGGTTCAAACCCATGGCAGGATTTGGGAATGGGGAGGTTTGTTATTCACATGTTTCTAGGAGATGTTCCTGGGCCAAGATTGTTTATTGCTTGCCATGGAAAAAGACACTGCTGGTAAAAATTACAGGTGAAAGACTGAGGGTATGGCTCAAGGAACATAAGGAGAGGTTAACAGCAGCATCCAGCCTGACCTCTGGATCTGGTAGACTCAACTGAGCAGCTCCTGCTGCTCTGGTGAGCTTCTTCCTGACAGTGGTCCATCACAGCACAGAGATGGAGGCAGCACTCGGCCAGGATCACATCCCCCAGGGAGGCTGAACACATTCCTCCTCACTAAAAAAAATGAGCTTCCAGGAAAATATCTTCACCGGGAGGTGACTACCCAGCCCTCCTGGGTTTGTTTGCTGACTGTGGGACGAGAGGAGTCCCCACCAGCAGAGACAGAGAGAAAAACCCGGGTGGTGCTGCCAGCCCTGGCCCGGAGAGCCGGCGGCTCCATGCAGGCTGTGGGCTGGCACAGTCCAACCACAAAGTTGCTTTTTTGACCAAAATTTTAAACTTTTCCCATTTTTTTTCCCCAACTTCCCTCCGTGCCCTGGGAGCTCTAACTCCCTGCCCGTCCACTTGCCTGTCCCAACCATCTGGCTGGTGCCCAGTGGGGCCAATCTCGATTGCATAAATCACCAAAGGGGGTAGAAACCTCAAAAAAAAAAAAAAAAAAAACCAAAAAACCAAAACCAAACCAGCCAAAACTCTCCCATTTGCCTCATAACAACCTAAATTTACCCCCTGGATCAGCGGTGGAGGAGCATCACCCTCACATTAAAACCACAATGTGCAGACTGATTTCAGGCTATGCTGCAGCCCTGCAAGGTTTTTTAACACGTTGCAAGATATATGGTGGGGTGGTGATTTTTTTTTTTTTTCAGAGCATTACATGGACACCAGATGCTTTCATTAAATAAAAAATTAAAGAAAAAAAGAAGAAAAAACACAAGCCTAAGCTCTGACTGTGTATTTCCCAGTCTGGTGCGAAGGTAACAAAATGTGAAGATCAGCCAATTTTTTTTTATTATTTTTTTGGAAACAAATCTTTCCAAAAAAGCTTAAACCTTTGACCTGCCTGGGTCCACACTGACAAAATGGAGAAAATGAATGAAAAGGAACCGGAGAGAGGTGGCTACAGGAAACTCCGCTCTAAAACACACAGTCTGGATTTTTTTGAAGTCAAGGCCCCCGTCTCTCATTTTTTTCCCCTTTTATTAATGAAGTGGAAGGAGTGAAAGCTTCAGGGAAGGCTCGGCTGGCACGGCTGCAGCTGCCTCCACTGACAGCAAGTTTTTCTGCCCATAACTTTGCATCCAGGATGCATGGTTTCCCCCGAGTCTGGCTTCAGAGCCCAAGTTTGGCCATGATTTGTCCGGGTAATTTGGTGGTGGGATCTCCAGCATCTCTCAAGGGATACAAGGTGTGGGGAGATGCAGGGGGGTACCAGGAGGAAGTTTTGGAAGCACCTAAACCGGCTTTCCTGGGTGAATCCCTGGGGATGAAGGCACTTGTTTCTCATGAAAGAGAAGGTTTCTGTTCAAAACTTTCATGGGTTTTGGGGGGGGCTGGCATTGGTGCTTGGGGTTGTCCTTCACCCACCATTTCCTTGGGCAAAGCTCGGCTTTGCCTGTGCCCTGGGGAACTGCTCCCACTTTGCTGATGCACCCACTGACCCCCTGCACAGGGGCTGAGCCACGCTGGGGACCGTCCCTGTCACTGCAGCCATGGAAAAACGTCCCTGAAAGTGTCCATGGGGCAACCAGAAGAAAGGAGGTGATGGTAAGGGGCGGAGGGGGATGGTGGTTTTTCAAGCAGGTGGTGGAGACGATGCTCTCCTGGCTGTGGTCCCCTGGAGCAGATGGTGACCCAGAGCGGGGAGAACAAAACCAAACAAGCCACAGCTTTCATGGCTCCAGCTGAGGCCGGTGACACCAGTTCCCAGCCAGGATGGCTCCTGGTCCAGGTCCTGAGTGTGGTGATGCCCTGGGGCTGCCTGTGGCTTGTGCCCCCTCCTCAGTAACCTGGGGCTGGTTGCAGTGCCCCAGCACCCAGGATCTTCCTCCAGGTTCACTATTCTGCATCCTGCTCTGCTCCCCCATCCCCTCAGTCAAGGAAAGGGGCAGGGAGAGCTGGGGGACGGGGGGCTCCACGGGCAAGAGGAGGGTGCTCAGCCCCAGGGAGCCCACAGGGCTGCCCCCTCAACTCCATCCCACCTGGCACCAAAGCTCCTGAACCACAAATCCTGCCTGGACGGTGCCTTACAAGTCACACCAGCCCAGGTGATGCATTCAAGTGTGTCCGCACATTATACATCTTTTTAAGGAAAAGGTGGCCGAGTGGTCCCTGGGCTGCGGGAGGGGACGGGGGGGGTCCCTGGTCCCCTCCTGCATCTGCAGGGTGCTGGGCAGTGCCACCCTGACATCATGCTCCTTGGCTCCTCAGGGCTTGGCCTGGAGCCTCCAGCCACAGGAAAGACCTGAAGGCTTGATGTTGCAGATGGAAGCAGGGGGGGGGCATGATTTGATGTTAATAAAACCAAAACCCAAGCCCACACCCTCAAAGCATGTTTGAGGGCAGCCACGTAAAGGCTTAAATAAAAGCAGCGCCTCGCAGCATTCAGAGACCATGAGTCAGGGGCCCAAAAATCATGAGATTACCCTGAAAAGAGCGCGACTGGAAAAAAATTATCTTTTTTTTTTTTTTTTAAAATTTACTTTTGGGTTTTGTGCTAAAGCTCTTGATTTCAAGCTTTCACTTGCCAAAGCTGACCTGGGACTGGGCTAGATGGACAAACCTACGCATCCTATGCCCGAACCTGGCTGCGGGAGCTGGAGCTCTGCTGAGATTCCAGCCACAGGGAGCACCTCTGGGCTGGCCCTGGAGAAAGGTCCCACGGGACCACGGGGGTGGCAGCGGGAGCAGAGTGGTTTGCAGAGAGACAAAAGAGGGTCTTTAACATGGACAGATGGAAGCGGGTCCTTGGGAGGTGGTGTCCCAGCCTGAGCCAGGACTTTCTGAAGGGCTGGGTCCCTCCTCTCTGCACAGGTGGAGAAAAATCCATGTGGATTTTACTCCAACCAGCAGCAAAGGATGACCCCAACACCATTCAGGTTTGGGAATGGAAAGAGCTGGTTCCTCGCTGGAGCAAAGGGTTAAAATAGGATTTTTTTCCCTCCCTTTTTTTTTAATTTTTAATTTATTTGGCGGTGGCTTTGCCTGCCTCTCCTTGCCAGTTTCCTACTGGTTTAATATTGGAGATTTATGGCCCCTAATCCCGGCTGGCCTGGGTGCTCCCTGCCTGGGTACGGTCCCCCCCCCAACATGGTGCCAGGGGACCCCTCACTGCCCCGGCTCCTTCCCTCGGGATGCGGTTACGGGGAGGGATCGCTCCCAGCTTCCCTGCTCCGGGAACAGCATTTCTCACTTTCCAGGGTGGTGGGAAGGTCTGTGAGCTGGGGACGAGCCAGGGATGAGCTGGGGATGGTGCTTCCCCCCCCCAGCCTGGCGTTTTTCTGTGGATTCAGGGTTTTTTTCTCCCTCCTGTCTCTCTTTTCAAGCTGCCTTTTGAAAACACGTTTTGCTTTTTTCCACCAGCCCCTGCCAAGCTCCTCTCGAAAAAAGGGGGTGACTAAGTGAAGTCTCCGTGAAAGGAAGGATTTTTTTATTTTTTTTTTTTTTTTTTCCCCAAGAAAGGGCAAAGTGAGCAGATGATCTCACCTTTCAGATGAGGATCCTGCTCCTCTCCCCCCATCCCCTCCCTGACACAGTGCTGGGGAGACGGGGAGGGCTTGGGGACAATGGCTGGGACCCCAGTGCTGGTTCCCAGCAAAATGCTCCAGCATCCTCTGCGCAGGATCGGGTCCCGCTGCAGAGTGCGGAGCTCAGGAAAAATAGAGCTGAAAAACCCTCTGGGTTTCCTTTACCGCAGCTGCCTACCCTACTGGGGTGAACCATGATGGAAAAGCCCCAAAAAATTGGGCTGAAATGGCAGTACCCGACGGAGCGAGGGATGCTCCTGCATCACCTGGACCAGCATCACCTGCTCTAATAAAATAATCCCTTCTGTTGGGCCAGGGGGAATCTCCATCCTCAGCAAGGTCCAGAAATGACCCGCCCCACTGCTTCCCCAGGATAATTTCAACTGCCCCAAACCCAGAGAATCCTCTCCCCCTGGTTTTCTGGGAGCCAAGCGACCCCTGCGCTCCACCAGGCAGCCAAAATAAACCCAGAAAGAAAGCTTTTCTGCTTCTGTTCTTGCCTTCCCACCCCCCTTCCTGAAATCTCCCAGCCTGCCCTCCCCGTGCCCTGTTTCACTCCAAATATTTGCACCAAAACCCATCTCGCGGGAAAGAGCCCAATTTAAAATAAAAGGAAAAGAAAAAAAAAAAAAAAAAAACCCACCCCACAAACCCAACAAAAACAAACAGATAAGAAAAATAAATAAGGGAAAATATCCCCTTTGAATCGTTGAATGAAACAGGGAGCTAAAAAGCCCCTTTGAGAAGCGCGGGGCGGATGATAGCTTCCCGATTGAGCCCGCGGGAGAAGTAACTCTGTTCAAGCTAATTAGAGCCTTTTAGGACATTCAGCCCAGCGATGCCGGCGTAACGGTGAGGAAAAGAGCCTCCTAATTGGCTTCCTGCTGGGGTGTCAGTCCCAAAGTCTTTATTATCCCTCCCTGCACCTTTTCAACCCTTTCTTCCCTCCCTGGCCCCGCCGAAAGCCTGGGCTGCCCCGGGCTCTGCTGCAGCATCGCTCACCCCCGCTGCCTCGCCAGGCTGGTTTGCCATCAAAAAAAGCAAATTTGCTGCCACTGTGGGGCTGGTTGGGGCTGTGGGGGTGGTTGGGGACCCCCTCTCCCCAGGGCCAGGAGGGCTGGGGTGGGAGCACCCCGGTTCCCGCATTGGGAATGGGGTCTGGAGAATAAGCTTATGAGAAGAGGCTGAGGGAGCTGGGGGTGTTCAGTCTGAGGAAGAGGAGGCTGAGGGGAGACCTTCTCACGCTCTATAACTACCTGAAGGGGGGTGTAGGGAAGTGGGGGTCGGTCTCATTTCCCAAGTCACAGGAGATAGGAAAAGGGGAAACGGCCTCAAGTTGCACCAGGGGAGGTTCGGTTGGATATTGGGAAAAATTTCTTCATGGAAAGGGTTATCCAGCATTGGAATGGGCTGCCCAGGGCAGTGGTTGAGGCACCATCCCTGGAGGTGTTCAAAAGACGGGTTGACATGGTCCTCAGGAATATGGTTTAGTGGATTTTTATTGCTTATTTCTTATTTATTTTCTTGTCAGGGTTAGGTTCATGGTTGGACTAGATGATCTTTAAGGTCCCTTCCAACCTAGACGATTCTATGAGAAAAGAAAAGCTCTTTCCAGCACCTGAATTCATTGTTCATGATGGGGTATCTCCTGCCCGAGACAGGTCTTCAGCTGCCCTCATCTCCCCAGGGTCTGGTGAAGCCCCTGATCCCATGTTACACCCTCAAACGAAACGGAGCCTGAGCTTTCACCTGAACGCCCAGAAAACATTCCCCACCCCCCCCAGTGACATAGGATAAACCAAGGAGCGAAACCCTGCGAGGTCTGTCCCTCGAGCAAAGCTCAAGTGCTGCTGCCACCAAAACATCACAATCCTTGGCCCGAGAGCCACAGAAAAAGATAATGCTGCTTGGCTGGAAGCAGGATTCACATGCCTTTTTTTCCTCTGAACTCCCAGGGCCAATTTGGACCACGATAAGCCCAAGTTTCCTACAATCAAGTGGCTGTTTTCTTCCTTCTTCAGAGAGAAAATGCTCCAGCATGACCTCAGCCCTAAGGAGATGCTGGAAGCCAGGTGGGAAAATGAAGGGATGCACATGCCACAGGCGGGAAATGCATTTTGCACCTTATTAGCCAGCAGAGAATCCACCCACGAGAAACCCCCACAGCTTTAGTAGCCTCAGCCTCATCTTTAATAATGTCATGATCCAACAGTGAATTTCTCATGTGCACTTAAACCCTTTTCTCTAAGGGTAAAGACATTCTTTGGGCCTCTCCAACATCTGATGAACCTCCAGCAGCTCCTCTGAGCATGGCCAGACCTCGCTGGATGGGAAGCTCCCCAGCCCCAGCAGCTCACCCTTCCCAAGGGATGCTCTCCACGACCATGTGGGCAATGGAAGAATAAAACAGGAATGCAAATAAAACATTTGCCTCCAAGCCCTCTTCCTTCCCCTGGGCTGGCGGGGAGGTGCCAGAGCACAAAGCCAGCGTGGAGCATCCCTCGGCCGGCCCCGCTGGGAAGCGCCTTGTCCGGGGACGGGCTGTTAAATGGGAATTCGTTCTGCTCTTGCAAACACTTCCCGGACATGCTGAGCTGCTGCTGTGAGCGTGTTGGAGGGAGGGAGGGAGGGAGGGAGGAGGTATCTCCACTCCTGGTTGCTTTGTTGCAGATGGGATGGGAGTTTTTTCATTTGTAGTTTGGCGAAAATATATACATACGTACACACACACACAGATATACATGCATGTGCATATATAGATATATTTTTAATGCATTCCTCTGCTGTGGAGGCACTAGGGCAACCACAGCCCTGGTGGATGCTAAACCCTGTCCTGCTGTGCCTTGTAATTCCCTGATTGTTTAGAAATTTGCAGGCTCAGCTCCAGTCCAGGCTCATCCATACACAGCCCCCTCCCCGTCCCCGGGGCAAACCCAAAGGTTCACGTTTGGTCCCTCCTGCAGACACTTTGCTCCCCCTCACTACAGCCTATGGGGGGAAGGAGACAATTTCCAGCTCCTACATGTGTTTAGCAGCATTTCTAAACAACCCCTGGCATGGACCACCTCTAATTTAACCAGCTCTACCTGATTTTTCCACGTCAGCCCTATTCCTGATGCTCAGCTCGTCCCAGCAACATTGGCACAGCTGGTGAAGGAGGGCAATCCACTGGGCAGGGGTGACCAAAGTGGAGCCATCCTTCCCCACCCTCCCGTGCCAATGTGGCTTGGTGCAGGGGGGAGATGGCCGAGCCTGGGGGGAGAGGGGCTGCTGAACCCTGGAGAGGGCTTCAAGGGGTTCCTCGCTGTGGCCCGAAGAAAATCCCCTTCCAGGATCACCCTGGACATCTCCTGCATGGACCTGCTGGTGACCCCATTGGGAACGGACCCACACTACAAATAATCCCAGGAGCAGAGAGGTGAGGAGGGAGCTTGGGACGTGCCTGGTCCAAACCACTGCTCCAAGCAGGAAGGATGCTCAGGACCTCGAGTACCAGCAAGGACTGGACCCACAGCCTCCCTGGCTTGTCCCAGGGCTTGTCCCAGGGCTGCACCACCCTCTGAACTTGCCTGAGAATTACAGGAGGGATGCATCTGGATGATGGGGAACTGCTTACTGTTTGTCTCCATGGCAAAGCATGTAACAGCACAGAGAGAAGAGATGGGACACGGTGTCATCGTAACCCAGAAGACACCATGGGGTTGATGGGACTATGGACCCTGATTTGGGTGTTGTCTCGGCATCTGCAGGGGGACTCATATTTTCTGAGTAACACACTGCATTGCTGCCTTGCCCAGCATCACTATCCAGGGCTTCCCCTCCAAACCTGGCAGAAAACATACCCCAAACTGCACACGGGTAGCGCCACGAGGCAGAGCTGGGCTGCCTGGCCCCAGCTGTGGTTGAGACCCAGTGGGCAACCTGCCCCTGGGCTGGGTGGGCTTGGGGACACCCCAGGGGGCATATGCTCCTGCTCTGCATCCCTGTGCAGCCTCTCCTCCCTGGGAAGTAGCAGCCGAGAGGGGCGACTCACCATAGTCTTTCTTACAGTACTTCTTCATGTTGATCTTCAGTTTCCCCTTGGAGGCTTTGCAGTATGAGTCACAATCTGCACAGGAGAGAGGGGGAGGGCAAGAAAACATTAACAAAACAAATTAGCCTTAAAATGAATAAAAGGCTGGGGGAAGGGGGGGGGACGGCTCAAAGCTGCAGCCTGCCATGAATAAGCAGCGTGCCTGTGATATCCATCTGCCAGGCCCCGATTGGGTCGTCTAAGGGGGCATTCAGAAAAACCTTCCTTTCTAAAGAAAGCTTTTCACAAAGGAAACCATCCTCCCGCCCACCTCCCCCAGCCCGGCTTCCCTGGGCTGCCTCTGTCTTCCTGGGAGACCCCAGGGCCTCCCTTATTGTGCCACCCAGAGCTTTTGAGAGCCACACAAATTCCCCCTGTTCTCCAGCTCCCAACTGGAGCCTGCCCGGAGCCCACAGAGGCCCCATTGTCACCCCTAACCCGGGCCGGTGTCAGCCTTTGGCATTCATTGCGGAGAGATTCGGGCTGGGGTCACCCTCCGACAATGCGGGTCAGAGAGGAAATTAGCAGCCCATGAAGCATTAGCAAAGCCTTTTGGTGTCCACTCTACTGAAGTGTGCAAATAAAATACCCCAGTAGGAACATTTCAGTTCCAATGGGCCCCCACTGCTGGGACACACTGGCTTTGCTGGGGTGGTGCAGCGGCCGGTGTGGCGGGCAGGCGGGAGCGCTGGCACGGCAGCCTGGCAGTGCCACCAGGGCTGGCAGGGCTGGAGCCCAGCCATGGTCCTGGGCAGCTGCGAGGATGCTGAGCCCTTATCCAGGAGCTGCTGCTCCTCAGAGATGCTGAGCACTGCTCTGGAGCTGCTGCTCCCCAGGGATGCGGAGCTCTGCTCCAGGAGCTGCTGCTCCTCAGAGGTGCTGAGCCTTGTCCTGAGAGCTGATGTTCACCAGGGATGCTTAGCCCATCCACGGGAGTTGCTGGTCACCGGGGATGCTGAGCCCTGCTCCTGGAGCTGCTTGTCCCAAGGGATGCTGAGCCCTACTCCTGGAGCTGCTAGTCCCCAGAGATGCTGAGCCCTGCTCCTGGAGCTACTGCTCCTCAGAGATGCTGAGCCCTGCTCCAGGAGTTGCTGCTCCCCAGGGATGCTGAGCCCTGCTCCTGGAGCTGTTGCTCCTCAAGGATGTGCTCCTGTGAAGGATGCAGCTGGACAGCATCACCCTTTCAGATGGCATCGTGTGGTCAGTGTCTTCCAGGCACCGCTGGGAACATCCCAGGGGCACCACGGCCAGGCAATGCCACAGTGGCTGGGGATGTGCCACCCTGTGCCAGCTCCCAGAATTGAGGCTGGCTCATGGACATGCTGTCCATGCAAGTCCCATGTCTCCTCAGCACCCATAGGTGCCAGAGAGAGGTCCCCAGCACCACAGAAATCCCTTATTTGGGGGGAAAAGGGACACAACTGGCTACAGCGGAAGCTATTGGTACAGCAATAGTCCTTGGACATCTCCACCTCTCCCAACTGCCCATTGGTCCTCCAAAGCCACTGTTGGACACCATGTGTGAAAACCTGCTAAAAAGCTGTGCTGTGGCCCCAGGGCCCTGTGAGCAGGGTTGGACGCTGGGACAGTGGGGGACACAGCTGGTACCCCATGGCCAGTGGACACCAAGGGCCCATATCCTGTCCCAGGCCACATTAGCAGTGCCAGACCAGAACCACACTCTGCCCATGCAACTCCTCAAGCTCTCCAGTGGACCTGAAACCCTGGGGGAGAAGCCATGCAGCCTCCCCCTCTGTGTCCCCCTTTATCGTGGCTGTGTCACACAGCAGGGTGGCATAGAATTATAGAATCATATGGGGTTGGAAGAGACCTCTGGAGACCATCTAGTCCAATCCCCCGGCCAAAGTGGGTCCACCTAGAGAAGGTTGCACAGAAACGTGTCCAGGGGGGTTTGAACGTCTCCAGAGAAGGAGAGTCCACCACCTCTCTGGGCAGCCTCTTCCACAAGTGCGCTACCACTCTCACAGTAAAAAAGTTCCTCCTCACGTTTAGGTGGAACTTCTTATACTCACATTAGTGCCCACAGTTGTGGGCCAGACACAAACTCATGTTTGTGCCACAGCCTCAACAGGGCTTGATGATCCATTTCTTATGTACTGCAAGAGCCCTTGCAAGAAGCGGTTCCTTCCTAGAGAAGTTGTCATGGGAGGGGAAACTGAGGCACAGAGTTGGGAGGTGGCTGCACAGCTACAGCGGCTGCAGCTTTTCTGGTGATAGCTCTGTGTGCAGCTCTGCTGGTATGAAGCTTCAGGACAGGGCCATGTTGGAGGAGGTGATCTCCAGTGGTGGATGCTCAGAGGCAGCCCAAGCAAGAAGGTCACCAAGGTCTGCAGACACGATGCACTGGGTGTTCTGCGCCCTCTCAGCTCACCAGACTCAGTACAAGAGGTGTCCCTGGAGTGGGAGGTGGGTTCAGAAACATGGGGAGCTTCCTGAGGTGGGGAGAAGATGCTCCAGGAGGTCTCATGGACCCCAATCCCAACCCTCCCCATTCACAGCAGAGCCCAACTCAGCCTCAGCCAAACAGCAGCTTCTTTTTTGGCTTGACTGGGGAACCAACAGAAGGAAACCTAGAGAGGCGAATACCCACACATCCCAAGATCATCAGGTACCACCTCATCCCAACACCTCCGAGCCATGTGTGCCCCAGCTCTTCTCAGCAAGGGAGGATGCTGAGCCCTTATCCAGGAGCTGCTGCTCCTCAGAGATGCTGAGCACTGCTCTGGAGCTGCTGCTCCCCAGGAATGCTGAGCTCTGCTCCAGGAGCTGCTGCTCCTCAGAGGTGCTGAGCCTTGTCCTGAGAGCTGATGTTCACCAGGGATGCTTAGCCCATCCACGGGAGTTGCTGGTCACCGGGGATGCTGAGCCCTGCTCCTGGAGCTGCTTGTCCCAAGGGATGCTGAGCCCTACTCCTGGAGCTGCTAGTCCCCAGAGATGCTGAGCCCTGCTCCTGGAGCTTCTCTCCAGAGATGCTGAGCCCTGCTCCTGGAGCTACTGCTCCTCAGAGATGCTGAGCCCTGCTCCAGGAGTTGCTGCTCCCCAGGGATGCTGAGCCCTGCTCCTGGAGCTGTTGCTCCTCAAGGATGTGCTCCTGTGAAGGATGCAGCTGGACAGCATCACCCTTTCAGATGGCATCGTGTGGTCAGTGTCTTCCAGGCACCGCTGGGAACATCCCAGGGGCACCACGGCCAGGCAATGCCACAGTGGCTGGGGATGTGCCACCCTGTGCCAGCTCCCAGAATTGAGGCTGGCTCATGGACATGCTGTCCATGCAAGTCCCATGTCTCCTCAGCACCCATAGGTGCCAGAGAGAGGTCCCCAGCACCACAGAAATCCCTTATTTGGGGGGAAAAGGGACACAACTGGCTACAGCGGAAGCTATTGGTACAGCAATAGTCCTTGGACATCTCCACCTCTCCCAACTGCCCATTGGTCCTCCAAAGCCACTGTTGGACACCATGTGTGAAAACCTGCTAAAAGGCTGTGCTGTGGCCCCAGGGCCCTGTGAGCAGGGTTGGACGCTGGGACAGTGGGGGACACAGCTGGTACCCCATGGCCAGTGGACACCAAGGGCCCATATCCTGTCCCAGGCCACATTAGCAGTGCCAGACCAGAACCACACTCTGCCCATGCAACTCCTCAAGCTCTCCAGTGGACCTGAAACCCTGGGGGAGAAGCCATGCAGCCTCCCCCTCTGTGTCCCCCTTTATCGTGGCTGTGTCACACAGCGGGTGGCATAGAATCATAGAATCATATGGGGTTGGAAGAGACCTCTGGAGACCATCTAGTCCAACCCCCTGGCCAAAGTGGGTCCACCTAGAGAAGGTTGCACAGAAACGTGTCCAGGGGAGTTTGAACGTCTCCAGAGAAGGAGAGTCCACCACCTCTCTGGGCAGCCTCTTCCACAAGTGCGCTACCACTCTCACAGTAAAAAAGTTCCTCCTCACGTTTAGGTGGAACTTCTTATACTCACATTAGTGCCCACAGTTGTGGGCCAGACACAAACTCATGTTTGTGCCACAGCCTCAACAGGGCTTGATGATCCATTTCTTATGTACTGCAAGAGCCCTTGCAAGAAGCGGTTCTTTCCTAGAGAAGTTGTCATGGGAGGGGAAACTGAGGCACAGGGTTGGGAGGTGGCTGCACAGCTACAGCGGCTGCAGCTTTTCTGGTGATAGCTCTGTGTGCAGCTCTGCTGGTATGAAGCTTCAGGACAGGGCCGTGTTGGAGGAGGTGATCTCCAGTGGTGGATGCTCAGAGGCAGCCCAAGCAAGAAGGTCACCAAGGTCTGCAGACACGATGCACTGGGTGTTCTGCGCCCTCTCAGCTCACCAGACTCAGTACAAGAGGTGTCCCTGGAGTGGGAGGTGGGTTCAGAAACATGGGGAGCTTCCTGAGGTGGGGAGAAGATGCTCCAGGAGGTCTCATGGACCCCAATCCCAACCCTCCCCATTCACAGCAGAGCCCAACTCAGCCTCAGCCAAACAGCAGCTTCTTTTTTGGCTTGACTGGGGAACCAACAGAAGGAAACCTAGAGAGGCGAATACCCACACATCCCAAGATCATCAGGTACCACCTCATCCCAACACCTCCGAGCCATGTGTGCCCCAGCTCTTCTCAGCAAGGCCAGAGTCACCTCATCTCAGCACCATCCTCCTGCCCCACTGCTGCTCCCAGAATAATAGATGGCTTCATGCTCTTGCAGTATGGCCTACCCAGGGCCGAAAGCGAAAGCTATGACATGCAGTGGGGTATCTTCCTCCTCCAAGTGTCCCAGCTGAGATCTCTGCTCAGCTACAATCCACCCAAAGCCCTTAGAAACCCAGGACCTGAGCTGGTGACCAAGGGGTTCAGCAGCCGATGCCTCCCCTTTGCTTTCCTTATCTAACATGACCCTGAACATCAAGAAAACTTGAGATGCACTGAGAAAAGAGCGGATATTCCATAAAAACTGTAGTTCAGATGATGGAGCTTCACTAGCAAAGTCCAAGCCATGCCTACATGGCAGGTTGCCA